GAAGTGTTCCCACTACCCCTCTACAAGTAGCAGCCCCGGGTAGGTATCACAGGCAGACTAATAGATTATGTGCTTTACTGGTAAAATGGAAAACTGTGTGACATCTTCTGGCTAAAAATTAGGTAAACCACCAAGTTAAAGTTTTCATTTCTTTTCATTTTGAAGTGACCGTGTTTACTGAGAGTACCACCTCTGATGCTTCAGAGCATGCCTCTCAGTCTGTTCCAATGGTAACAACATCCACTGGCACTTTATCCACAACAAATGAAACAGCAGCAGGTGATGATGGAGATGAAGTATTTGTGGAGGCAGAATCTGAAGGGTAAATATTTACTTTATAATTTCTGCTTGCTTTAGACTTTTACACTTGTTTTCCTTTAGCCAGGAAATAGTTTGTTGAGCTGTATTTTTAGTAGCATCCCATTACAAAAATAAAACAAGCCATACATTTTGGAAGACTAACTTTTGCACATAGTAATATATCTTAGGATTTGGATATTATTACAGCAGACAAGTAATTTCTTAAATGTTTATCTCCCTGAAAATTATATGATGTATTCTAGAAAAATGATTTAAAATCACTGATAGCTTTCAATTCATGTAGTTGCTTGAACTTTCCCTAAGAAAGAAGTCATTCTGTGAAAATTAGGAAATGACTCACTTTCCATTTTGTAGTGGGCTCTCAAGTGAATTTCATTTATTCTTTATGTGCATTTAGAACTTGATGTCTGAAATACTGACTTCTTAAAAATTAGAAACTTTGTAGCAGTTTTTAAGACCTAACTACATTTTAACACATCAGTTATAAACAAAGTTTAACAAAAGAAATATGACACAGCATCTGGATTTTTTTTTTTTTTTATGTCAAAGGAGTAATTTAATGCATAGAACCCCTGGACAGTGGTCTTGGAGAAGTGTTTAGCTTTCAAGACAGAACCTAATTCTTTACAAAATAAAAAAGTTGGACTACTTCAAAGAAGCATAGCTAGAAGTAGAACACAGATTTCCTAGGTGGAGCTCAAAGATTTTGTTGTATTGAGCAATATTTTCTTAGTGTAATTTTAGACCAATTCTAGTGTATGAGGAAAAAAGCAAGCCTACTATTATGCTCTAACACAGTGCTGCTTAATTTGGGGGAGATAACGGATCCTGCTGAGAATACTAGCTGCCATTAATTTCATATCATATATGCAAGTCACTTTAGATATGTCATTTCTAACCCACACAAAATCTCTACTATTTTCTCCGTTTTACAGTGAGAAAGCTGAGACTCAGAACATGTTAAAGTAACTTGCTTAGGCCACTGGTAACTGGCTTAGACTGGATTTGACCTGTGACTTGAGCCCCATGCACTTTACCCTTCACTAGTACTTCTCAACTTGGGCAGGTAGTCATGAGAGAGATCTTTCAGATACATTGTTACTAATGACTGCACTGAAGTTTGCAGATGATAAAACTGGAGCAGATTCAACTTACTTTTGGGCTATTTTCTCCCTTAATTGTGTTTTGATATGCTTTATTGAATGGGAGAGAGAGTGTTGGAGTTACAGCCATTGAGCCAGGGAATTCACGTACCCACAGCATGTCTCATCTGGGCTAGAGCTCATGGTGAGTTAGTGGTACATTGTTTAGTTGGGACTTGTGAATTATTTTAGTACTCTGCCTTCCTAGAAAAGTGTTTTGAGATTTCAAAATCTGCATAGTATATCTCTTACAAATGTTTTCAAGAATGTGAACATCCTTTGCAGAAAAGAAAAAAAAAATAACGGGAAATAAAAACTAAAGTTGGAACATGTGAGAAGAGGAATAAGGAAAAAGCAACTTGAGCTGTCTTTTCCCCAGCTCCTTTAAAAAAAATACACAGTTACCAATATCAAGAGTCTACAGTTTTGAGTTAGAGGGAAGTGCGGGGTTATTGGAGTGATAAACTATGTCAGAAAGAGTTTGGGAACAATTTAGGATACCTCAAGGACCAGTTTTGCATTTTCTAATCAATTTTTGTTTTCCTTTCTTAGTATTAGTTCAGAAGCAGGCCTAGAAATTGATAGCCAGCAGGAAGAAGAACCTGTTCAGGCGTCTGATGAGTCAGATCTTCCTTCTACCAGCCAGGATCCTCCATCCAGCTCTTCTGTAGGTAAGTTCCTGCTCTTGAGTACAACGCAACTGATACACCAAACTTGTTTGCAAAAGATGATTTTATTGTAACAAATAGATCATTATTTTTCCCCCTTAATTAAAAATGGTTTATTTAAAAGGGAAATTGTATTTTATTAAAGGAAATGTAGTTTTAAGACTAGAGGTGCCACAGGGCTGTGACGGATGGGTCACTGGGAGGGCAGCTAAGGATCAGTACTTCAGTCTCCTGCCTCTTTAAACCAAAGGAGCTTCTTGTTACTTGTTCTACATATTAGGATTCTTACATGTGATTTGATTTGGAGAGTTGAAGGGTAGGAGGTCTGTTACTCAAAAAATACTTGAAATTTACTGATGTAAACAGTTTCAAAGTTTGGCTTTCAAGTCTTTGAAGTTAACTTTGAAAAAGGCTATTTTATGTATTTTTCCTGCAATAAAAATTATTTCTGTGGTACTTAACAAAAAAATAATTAACATTTATTGAGCACTTACTGTGTGTCAGACAGCATTCTAAGCCCTTTACATATATTACCTTACTTAATTCTCACATCAACCCAATGTGGTAATCACCCATATGGAAACTGAGTCACAGAAATGTTGAATAACTTTTCCAAAGTATATAACTAATAAATAATGGGCAGGCCAGGGTACAAACTCAAGAAGTTTGGCTTCAGAGACTCCACTCTTAAACAATACACTACACTAACTTATCTGTCTCAAAATGTTTAGGTAGGGAATTACTTTTATTAAAATTGAAGAAATACAGTACCCAGTCATCCACACAGATTATTTTTATTTTGAATTGTTTATAGCAGTAATTCTCAAATTCTGCCATGGAACCTTCACATTCTATGGAAGACCTGCTCAGTTATCTTTTTTCAGTCATGGGACTGCTATCTCAAGATCTCTCCTGCCCATCAGCTGCTTTTCCCTGACACAACAGCCTATAAGCCAACATCCCTAGGTTCAGATCCCACATCTACCTTGGAAGAGCTAGTAACTTTAAATGCGCAAATATTTTATTATGAAATCTGGATAATCATAACTAATCTTGCAGTCAAGATTAGAAATAATGTATGTAAATTATGTAACTCAATGCATAACACTCAGCAAGACTCAAAAATTATCATTATCATAGTTACTAATAATACAATTGCTGAAGAGCTCTTCTCCCATTTATATATCTGATATCCCATGAAAATGATCTTTGACAGGAGAATGGGCACTTTTATCTTATCAGGGCTTGCACAAGAAAATACGGTTTTTGTTCCCTTTTACAATATACTATAAAATTAGGGTGTCTTTAAATTTATTTGGTAATATAAAACAGTAAGCCTCCTCATCTGAGCAGTTCATTTGGTCAGTAAATATTTGAGTGCCTACCATGTGCCAGGCGATTTGATAGAAAGCATTACTAAGAAAATGACTTTTAAGTAAAGACCTGGAAAGGGCAAGGGAGCAAAGCTGTGCGGTTTTGGGGGGAAGGAGTGTTCCAGATGAGATCTATAAGGCAGCAGTGTGGCATATTCAAGATCAACAAGGAAGCCAGTGTGGTTAGAGCACCGTAAGGCCAGAGGGAGGCTAGCAGGAGGTAGGAGGGGTAGGGAAGAGAAGCCCAGTAGATCACTGTAATTGCTTTGGCTTTTGTGGATTTAGGAAGCTTTTAGAGGGCTTCAAACAGAGTGGTAGTAAGTTCTGACTTAAAGATTTAACAGTATCAGTTTGGTTGCTCTGTAAACAAGAGACTGAAAATGTGTAATGGGCAGAAACGAGAAAGTTCAGAGGATATTGTAAATTCAAGGTAAAGACAAGGATGTTTCAGACAGAATGGTAGAGTGAAGTTTGTGAGGAGAGGTCAGATTTGGGGATATGTATTTAAATTCAAGCTGGCAGGATTTGCTAATGATTGGATTTGGGGTGTCTGGAAAAGAGGATTCAGATTTGACTCACATTGTATGTCGGGATCTGTTGTTTCCTGAGGGAGCTGATACGTGGTTTTTTATTGTAGTCCCCACCCCCTAGCACAGTGATACATGGATAGGCACCAAGTGAATATATATTTTATGAGTGGAGTGAGTGAATGAAAAAGAACCATGCACTTTTTTTAATAAGAAAATTTTTTTTACTTTCTACCCTTTTTTTGTTTGTTAAATGTCCCTTGTTAAAAATCAAACCACTTTTAAATATTGAAAGCAAATGGACACCTCTCCATTTTATCCATGCGTCATTTAGTGACTAGATTTTGCCATTATAAATGCTTTTCTTATTTTTTAATTTGCTTTCTTATATTTTAATGTTTGGGGTTTTTTTCCTTAGATACTAGCAGTAGTCAACCAAAGCCTTTCAGACGAGTAAGACTTCAGACAACATTGAGACAAGGTGTCCGTGGTCGTCAGTTTAACAGACAGAGAGGTAAATTTCTGACATATTGATTACATGATAGGATGTAGGATAGTAAGTAATAAATGGAACAAGTTTTCTAATCCTTAAGCTTCTAACTTGTATCTAGTTTTTTTTAATGTTCCTAGGATTAATTAAATAATTACACATTGAGCATGTGATGTTTACTAATCTGTAAGCTTCTTGTAGAAAGATTTGTAAACTATAGGTATATAATGAATATGTGCTTATATTTCATATGTATTCATTTCTTCCTTGAATTCAAAATTAGATTTGAGGAAGCCAAAGTGTTACAGTACTAGATAGTCATTTGTTACATCTCTTCCTGTTGTTACACTTTTTACACAACAGAATCAAGCTTTGTGACTTTAGTTAAAAAAATTAAGAATTTTAATATCTGTGTTTTCTAATGTAACCCTTAGAGATTGTATTCATGCCATGAAAATATTAATCTAATTGTAATAATTTTCAACTGAAGATGTGTGAAATGTCTAACACAGTTTTATATCTGTATACCTAGATATTTGATATTGAAAGCAATTTTATAGTGACCTAGGGTAAGTGAATACTCCACTTTTGAGCTAACTTCTTAAAAGATGTATTCAGTTTGGTTATTTTTTTCTCTTATAGGTGTGAGCCATGCAATGGGAGGGAGAGGAGGAATAAATAGAGGCAATATTAATTAAATGTCCTGTAAACTGTAATAATTGTGAATAAGATTCTCAAGCCTGTTTTAGTGTAATGATTGTCGAGATTAAAAACATTTTTGTATTTAAATTGGTAATGCTTCTCTCAACATTCTTTATTAATAAAATGTATTTCAGTGTCAAAATTTTTCATTCTTCATTTAATTAGTTGACTCTTCCTTTGCCCGTGGGTCTAAGGACAGTTGTACCAGACATTGGATAAGCTCCGCCCAGAACGAGTAGTAATGACTCTTGCTGTTCTGCTGGGTTCATCGACGTTATAGTATTGATCTAAATAGAAGAGAAATCATTTTTTAATTAAAAAGAAAACAAAACACCTCAACTTAAAAATAGTTTGTGTTGACTATTATACTCAAAGATAGTGTTTATTATTTTAATATCAGAAATGTTTGTATTAATTTGAACTTTATGACAAAAACAATTGCCTCGAGAGATTGACCTTTCACCAGCTTTCTGTAAAATTAGGTTTGACTCCTTTTTCAGAGTAAGAGTTTGAGGAAAAACTAAGTTTAAAAAATAATAATTCACTTCAGTTTTACCCTTTAAAAATCTTTTTGACGTCATTTTTATAGGTAGAATAATTTAGATTTCTGTATTTTTCAAAGAAAAGTGTCCCAGGTAACATAATTTAATTTTTATTAATTAAAAATAATTAATTTTTAAGAACCTCTTTGTGGCCTTCGGGACTTGTGTAATGATGCAAATCAGTAATATTTTGTGGCACCCAAGACCTCCGTTAAATGCCACAGGTAATGTAGAATATTGTTCTTAGTAGCAGTTTTACTCAAGTAATTGGATAATTTATCATAAGTCTTTAACCTCATGAAGGATAGTGCAGAATAGAATTGCAGCCTATTCGGTTTAATTGAAAGTAAAGTGAAAATCTAAACTTTCTCTTCTTCAGAGCAATTAGAATTAAGTATTAGAGTTTAACTTCACACCTTTAGTCACCACTGAACACTGGTTTTTGCTTTGATTATATTCATATTTTAGAGATTAGAGCACATCTGTAAGAACCTAAGAAGTTGCTTAATAACTTACTCCTAGAAAAGGCGTAGTAATCATAGCCTTCCGGTTTTCTGATGTTGGGCAGTGCGATAGCTGAAGTCACCACACTTGGAAATCCTCTCCACTGTAAACTCATTTTAACTTCATTATGGAGGAAACCTGTAGATTTAAAGATACCAGCCTGAAAGCAAAGTACTGTAGGGAAGAGCAGCCGCTAGAGTCTGACGGACCTGGGTTTGAATCCCAGTTTGGTCACTGAGTACCTCTGTTACTGTGGGTGAGCTATTAACTTAGGTGCCTCAGTTTTTGCCCCCCTCTGACATGGTGCAGATACCTACCTATTAGGACTCTGCTGAGGTTTATAGATTTGTGTGTAATGTTCTTGGTAAGAGGTACTTGATAAATGGTATTTATTCCAAATAACAAACCTGAATAAATTGCATTCTTTACTCACAAAAAAAAAACTATATAGATAGATAGATCTGGTCATTCACTGAGGCAAATTGATGTTTTGAATCAAAGAGCTTTAAGTTATTGGGGCTACTTAGTCACTATATTCAATAAGCTTCATTCTGTAAGATAAACTGTATTACATCTACTTCATGTGTAAGAATTTTTAACACAGTAAGAAACATTACCTTTGTCTTGGTAAGAGACTCTGACGGGGGAATAGTGAATTCTGATGGTGTGTGTTTGAGAAGGTCCTGTGGCATGTTCAAAGCGACGTCTCCTAACCTGTGTTGTTTCTCTGTACACTGAATAATTGATAGCAGGCCTTCTTCCAGGGCACTTTTTGATGGGTTCCTGTTTATAAATATACTGCTGAATGCCGCCACCTATTATGTATTAGAAAATCACATGTGATAAGAAAATTAAGCGTAAACCCCCAGAAAGGTGGAAAAGAGCTTTTACAAGGTAGAGGAAATGATCAGTGTTTATCATAAAGTATGTCCAGACATTAATAATGGCTATTAGTCAAGGGTATTATAAAATAATGGCGAAGTGCTGAAATACATGTTGAATGAATAAAACCAACAAATTGCCTAGTTATATATATTTAACTTTGTTTGAAATTAAATGATGACCTCTATATTAATGACCTGAAAATTCAGGTGAAATTGTAATTTGCATGCTAAGAGCTCTGACTACTTTTTACTGTCCTCAGTTTTTTCATTAAAAATAATTTGACTCCAGCCATTAAACATCTTTGACAGTAAACCCAGTAATAAATGAAAATATTAAATAAAATTTCTCAGGCAAATCAGTTCTTAGAAGTTTTGTAATTTTATCAATTATTGTAACACATACCTCTCTTGAAAAAATATACAGATTCAGGTCTGTTCTTGTATTTGGCTATTGAGAGAGCTGCCACTATTTTTCCATTTAGTCCTCCAAATCCTTTTACAATTTGTTTGGGGTACCCTGGATCTTTTATATCATTGGTGAAACGCCAGTACTGGGAATCCTGATGATTTAACAGAGGAAATGGTGTTAACAGCTTCAGAATAAAAAAGTTTGGGATTCATTCTTAGATGTATATATAGGGAGAAAGTTTTAACTTTGTTAAGTGAATAAATTGGCCTTTAATGTTACCAAATTGTTAGCTTTTTATTAAATTTTGATGATAGAATAGTTTAATAAAATATGGAGACCCTTCTGAAGTGGAGGGTAAGCTGATTTATGCTCTTAGGATCAAGAATAGCTAGTTGCTGATTTCTCTCAGAAAGATATTTTTCTTACCTTAAAGAAGAAAGTTTTTCCTTCACAGTTGCATCTAGTAAAAACAGTATCAATGGGGGAGGGAATACCCCAAACTTCAGTAATTTTACGAGGTGGAGATGGTGGATTGAATGGACTCAGCATCCAGAAATAATGACCTAAAATTGAAAGTGATAGATCAGCCTCCAAACTGAATGAATACTATAACTTACTCCAAAAGAAACCAAAATGAAAAATATGTTAACACACATTATATGACAAGTTTAGTCAGCACTGTGAGGATTAGTACAGAAGTTAGTATTTGAATATTTCTGAGAGTAGGTATTTCTCAGGTCTGAAGTTCAGCATAGCCTTTGAAATATTTTAGTTTTCCAGTTTCTCTAGAAAGACCCTTCTGGCTCTGTGACTTACAGAAGGGCACTTATCTCCATTTCTTTATCTTTTAAAATTAAGGAGTTATAATTCAGTGACTGCTAATATCTCTTTAGCCTCTACCATGGTAGTGTATGATTTGTTTCCTTTCAGATTTAATCTAAATATAAGAGGACTGGACCAGCAGATGGTACAGCAGAGAAGTAACATGAAGTAACTGCTGTTCTGTTAGGTTACCACGGGATGTAGCACTGTTGAATGCATTGCAATCAAGATGTTATTTTCATGTAAAATAGAGCAGGGAATACAAATACAAATCTGGGTGTCATATCATTTGATAGGAAATTAAAATTTGAACTACCTTTTAATTACTAATGGAAAGAAAAAATTTAGTATCAGTTCAAGCTCTCTTTTTTTTAATTTTATTTTATTATGTTAGTCACCACACAAGCTCTCTGTTTTATTTGTTACTCTAATGTGTTTAATTCTGTTAGTCCTGTATTTTGGTAATTACTTTCAGGTTCCCATAATATTGTGTGAGGAAAGTTCAGTCAGGCTCCCCTTTGGAAAGCTCAACCCAAACTTCCACTCTCCTTTGGTTCTCATAAATGCCAAGAATAAAATGATGGGCAGAAGAAGAAATATGCGCATAGCTCACCTCGAAATGCAACCAGTGTTCCATTGTGCAAAGTAGTCAGTCCATCTACTGGCTTACCGTTGCATAAATTAGTCTCATCTAAAACAAAAAATTAAGCCGATACAAAAGAAAATGAGAAAAGTGTTCATGTTTTCAAATCCTCCCACAGGGCTGTTTCCTCTGTTCACCTTTTCCTAAGCTCTTGAAGGGGCTAGTGGGATGTATGCATATTTCGGAAATGAAAAAGAAGAGCTATATTTCCTAATTGTTTTACTTAAAGGTGATATTTTTCAAAAGGTAATCTATAAAATTTGGAATGGGCCAGGTTACCTGATCTTCATGTAAATTAGATAATTATTGGATGTTTGATCCCAACACAAAACTCCATTTTTCAGTTCTGATTGCCCTTTGGAATTGGTTTGGAAAAGAGAATAATATTGCAGATTTTTGCTTTGCATTGTACTCTTGTAAGGATACACTCCCAACTAAATTTTTTTGACATTCTGTACACCATCTCTGCATATAGACACAAATGCACTAAATTCCTTATTCGATTTTCCGAAGACCAAATAATCTTACTGTGATTACTCCTCTGCTTCCCTACGGAGAAGCTGTAAAACCCCACAAGTTAACAAGTTCAGGGTTCTAGATAATATATCAATAGTGTGATACTAACTCAGGACATTCTGGCTCAGATAAATTTAAGTTAACATTACCAATTTTAAAACTGGAAGTAACATGCTTATTACCTGAAAGCATGGGATTGATGGCGAGGTCTTGATTGGATCCTCTCACCAATATATGAAGGGGCCTGGGGATCATGTGAGGTTTTTCTCCAGCAATATCTGCATCTTTATTTGGATTTACTTCAACTTTTTCTGAGTTAAGTCTTTGGCTGGGGCTGGTGGTAGTTTGGGGCATGGCTTCCGCTGAGGAGGTAGGGTGTAATTTCGGCATTGTCGATGTAGTCATCTTTGGGGGAGTTGCTGTAGTCTTTGGTTTTCTCACTTTAGGTATTGTGTTTGGCTTTTTGGTAGAAGTGGGCCTTTTTGGTGCTTTGGTTGGCTTTCGGGGTTTAGAAGTTGACACTTTAGGATTCGTGGTTGTATCTTTTGGCACAGCTGTGGTTTCTTTGGGTTTATTCACAGCCTTTGGTGTGGGTTCTGCAGGAAACTCAGGAATTGATTCAGCAGGGTTCTTGGGAGTAGTGGGAGGCTCCATGGTGGTAGTTGTAGTAGAGGCCTCTGAGATGGTTGGAGCAGGTGTCTCAAGAGAAGCTGGAGCAGGCTCCTTGGGGACCTTTGGGGTGGGCTCTTTGGGAGCAGTGGGTGCAGGCTCCTTGGGGGCTGTGGGTGCAGGCTCCTTGGGAGTGGTGGGAGCAGGCTTCTTAGGGGTGGTGGGTGCGGGCTCTTTGGGAGTGGTGGGTCCAGGCTTCTTGGGAGTGGTGGGTGTAGGCTCCTTGGGAGTGGTGGGTGCAGGCTCCTTGGGGGTGGTGGGTGCAGGCTCTTTGGGAGTGGTGGGTGTAGGCTCCTTGGGGGCTGTGGGTGCAGGCCCTTTGGTGGTAGTGGGTGCAAGCTCCTTAGGAGTGGTGGGTTCAGGCTCTTTGGGAGTGGTGGGTGTAGGCTCCTTGGGAGTGGTGGGTGCAGGCTTCTTGGGGGTGGTGGGTGCAGGCTCTTTGGGAGTGGTGGGTTCAGGCTCCTTGGGAGTGGTGGGTGTAGGCTCCTTGGGGGCTGTGGGTGCAGGCTCTTTGGTGGTAGTGGGTGCAAGCTCCTTAGGAGTGGTGGGTTCAGGCTCCTTGGGAGTGGTGGGTGTAGGCTTCTTGGGGGCAGTGGGTGCAGGCTCCTTGGGGGCCGTGGGTGCAGGCTCCTTGGGAGTGGTGGGAGCAGGCTTCTTAGGGGTGGTAGGTGCAGGCTTTTTGGGAGTGGTGGGTTCAGGCTCCTTGGGAGTGGTGGGTGTAGGCTCCTTGGGGGCTGTGGGGGCAGGCTCTTTGGTGGTAGTGGGTGCAGGCTCCTTAGGAGTGGTGGGGTCAGTCTCCTTGGGAGTGGTGGGTGTAGGCTCCTTGGGGGCTGTGGGGGCAGGCTTTTTGGTGGTAGTGGGTGTAGGCTCCCTAGGAGTGGTAGGAGCAGGCTTCCTAGGGGTGGTGGGTGCAGGCTTCTTGGGAGTGGTGGGTGCAGGCTCCTTGGGGGTGGTGGGTGCAGGCTCCTGGGGGGTGGTGGGTACAGACTCCTTGGGGGTGGTAGGTGTAGGCTCCTTGGGGGCTGTGGGTGCAGTCTCTTTGGTCGTAGTGGGTGCAGGCTCCTTGGGGGTGGTGGGTGTAGGCTCCTTGGGAGTGGTGGGAGCAGGCTCCTTGGTGGTGGTGGGTGTAGGCTCCTTTGGGGTGGTGGGTATAGGATCCTTTGGGGTGGTGGGTGCAGGCTCCTTGGGAGTGGTAGGTGCAGGCTCCCTGGGAATGGTGGGAGCAGGCTTCTTGGGGGTGGTGGGTGTAGGCTCCTTGGTGGTGGGTGCAGGCTCCTTGGGAGTAGTGGGAGCAGGCTTCTTAGGGGTGGTGGGTGTAGGCTCTTTGATGGTGGTGGGTACAGGCTCCTTGGGAGTGGTAGGTGTAGGCCCCTTGGTGGTAGGTGCAGGCTTCTTGGGGGTAGTAGGAACAGGCTTGAGGGTGGTGGGAGTGGTCTCCTTGGTGGTGGTGGAAGCAGGGGATTTGGTTGTAGTTTCAGCTTCGGGTGTAGATTTAACAGGAGCTTTGGATGTGGGTACAAAATCTTTAGGAGGTGTTTTCTCTGCATTTCTTGTCTCTTTAGTTGAAGTAGTCTTCTCTTTTGTTCCACTTGAAGTCTCTTTGTTTGTTAAAGAAGTCTCTTTAGTTTCAACTGTTGCCTCCTTATTAGGTGTTGAAGGTGTCTCTTTGGATATATCAGAATTAGGTGGAAGACTGGGTTTAGGATTTATTGGTTTGCCTGTTGTGATCTTGGGAGATGTGGTAACTTTATTGCGTTGGGTAGTAGGAATGTCAGGAGTTGGGGTGAGCTTGATGTCACCATTGTCCAGTCCACTTCCAGCTTCATCTACAACTGGTGGTTCTGGGGTAGGTTTCTTTTTGGGTGTTCTTTCCTTCTTGTTATCTGTTACTAGAAAAAAATACACACCTCTTTTATTTTTGAGTAGTTTTCAATGGGGACCTAAAGATCCCATCCTTATCAACTAGCTATGTATCCCAAGCAAATTGCTAACCTGTAATATATCTATTAACTTGTTATAAAATGGTAAATATGGAACTTATCTGATTGGCCTATTTTAGGGAATTAATGAGAAGGGGTGAAAAGCACAAGTTAAAGTCTATACAATTAATGTATAGAAACAAGTGGCAGCTTTGAAATTACCAACATGATCAACAAGACTAATTCATCTCTGTGAATGCTCTTTGGCCCTCACTCTCTCCCTTCCTCTTATTTCACATTGCTCAGTGACCCATCATCCCCTCTGGAAACCTAGTTCCAACATCTCGTAGATTCACTGCACCAGTTGCCTCAGAGACCGCTACAACTACAACCCCAGAAATCTGTCCAGTCACCCCAATGGTCCCTACTGAGCTCTGTTTCCATACACATGGCTGTTAGCTGCTCTCTTTCCTCGGCGCACCTAAACTCAGCAGCCCTGGCGATACAAAGATTAGGATGCCATGGCAGCAAAAGACCCTGTTCAACAGGATTTCTCAAAGCAGCTACCCCATAGGTGAATTTCAGAGCCCAAAGACCATATCAAGAGCTCATCACTGAGATGAGTTCCATTTATAGTAAACATGTACTGCGCTTCTATGGTGTGCAAGACTCTTTGGATAAATCAAAGACTATGTATTTGGCTATTCAGCCAGAGAAAAGCCTTCAGGGGAAATAACAACCACCCCGGAAATAGAGTTCTTCAAAACTCCAGTATCCAAAATTCAGTATTTCCTGGAGAAAGAGAATATATTTTAGAATTTCAGGAAATAAAAGCAGAACAAAGGGAATCTCTTTTCAGAAAGTAAAAGCATGATCTGTAGTGCATTCTCTACTACAAAAAAAAAAAAAAAATCAGCCAGATATGACATAGAATTTATTAGAAAAATAGTAAAAAGGAGCTGTAAAGTGTGGATAATAATACTGCCTTTCCCAGAGATGTGTATGAGACTTTAATGGATTAACATTTTAAAGCACTTAAAGCAGCACATAAGTGTTTGCAAAATAAAATAAGTAAAAATTAAAGGAAAAATAACACAAGGAACATAAAGGAGAAGAAAGAAAAATGTATCAGGTGGACAGGAATTAAACTTGAAAACCATAAATTAGCATCTCGTGTCGTCCTGTGGTTCCAGAGCTGCTGCTCTAGCATCTTCTTATCCTTTGCTTTAAAGAATGGTTTCTTAGCTGCTTTGCACTAGTTTCCTATGGGAAGTTCTCATTAGTATCTTCTACAATAATTTTTACAAATCTATACACACCCCAAGTACTGAAATGTCCTCAAATCATTCTACCAACACACATTGCTTTTAGACAATTATTATTAATATGGCATTGATACAGTCTTTGATCTTTATCAATGCTCAAACCTTTGGGTTTCTTCTTTAATTCTTTATTAGCAGCTGAATTTTTGGAAGACTTGATTTTCCGAATAGTTGAAGAGGAAGAGGAAGAGGAAGAAGACTCTTGATTTTCAGAAACAGAATGTTCTATAAATCAAATAAAAAGGTTGATCACACCAACTGTAATTTAAAGCAAAAAACCACCAGTCCAAATGCAACAGGAAATAATGTTTACTGAGCTACAAATGTCTGTGTTTTGCTTTTATTTTATCAGTAATATGATCAACTGTTCTTTTAATTTGTCAGTTAAAAGTAAGGTAGCTAAGCTTCTCACAGGTACTAGCAATATATTACTTTCTCTCAACTTTCCCCTCTCTCACAGAATCTAATTATTCTGCAGAAAATCACCTGAGATTTTTTTTTTCCAGTGAGATGTGTTTCTTCTGATTATTTTAACCTACACCCATGCTGGGTTCAGTTATAAGAAAAACAAATAGCTGATGGTTTATAATTTGGCTAAAGAAAAATAAATAGCTGAGGGTTTATAATTTGGCTTAAACTTTGACTTTAAACACATTTTAAAAAGTGTAATGAGCCTTTCAAGATTCACATGATTCCCTTACTCTATGAAGAGTCTTATAAAAGTAGTCCACCTACAGCTTAGTCCCTCTCAAAACCTTTTATTACATCTGTCATCTTCCTACCTTCTGTTATTTCCTCTGATTCTATCACTTTCTTAGTCATCTTCTTGTTTGGTGCTTTGGGTGAACGTTTGGTTGTTGATTTGATGGTTTGAGATGCTCCTGGAGGTGGAGGTGGAGGTGCAGTCTTTGAAGATGGTGGTGATGTGGGATTATGCACTGAGGCCAAGCAAGACAGGTGGATTAACATCTTGTTGACATTCATCAGCAACTCTTAACTGTGAAAGTCACGGATGCATCTGGCTTCAAGAATCGATGCCGGTGAAAACCAGCGTAGGCATGCTCTTAGCCTAACACTAGTTACTCCAATTCTAAAGATGCATTGCTATAAAATATTGGTTCTGAGATTGTTATAAGTTATGACAAGGGGCAAAGGCTCAGAGGTCAGAAAACCTGAATTCCAGTCCTCGACCTGCAAAGTGCTATCCTTGTGACCTTGAGCAAATGAGCTAACCCCGTCTTGAACTTTGTTTTCTTGTCTGCAAATTGAGATGTTTCTTCTAGATGATTTCTGAAGGTATTTCCCGGCCTAAACCATACTTGTCTCTATCAGCTCCGTCCCTTATGCCAATCTTCTGTGATGATAGAAATAATTACTGCATGTGAGCAAAAGGTATTTGTGCTCTCAGGAAGAGAAATATAATAATTACATTTGTCCTGTTTTCATATTCATTTAAATCAAATGGTGCCAATTCGCCTTTTTTTAATTACAAAATTTCTGCATGAATATTTACTCTTATAAAAAGTTCACACCTTCACGTTATGCTTTTCTCAAAATGTGTGGCCCTTCCCCAAGTTAAACAACTGTTAATGATTTGGTGTGTATCTTTGAAACCTTTTCTGTCCTACCCTTTCTATGTCTAGAAGAGAAGGCATGGGACATGTTTTGATCATTAGGAACCAGAAGAAAAGGAGAGGGACTTCTGAAAGATCAGAAAGCAGAGAACAGTGGGGAGGCTTTGAGTAGAGAGAGTTGTGATAAATCCTGCTGCTCTCACCGCACACCCCCTCGGAACTCTGGCCAGCACAGTCTCCAGGAGCTGACGACCACACTCCGTCCTCTGTATCTCCCACCAAATAGCTCAATTTGAGAAACAGTTCTGCCATACTAGCTAGTGATCTTGAGCCAAACAACCTCTTGGACTGTTTTCTCACCCACATTTCTTCAGTTCTCGAAATGTTACAATTTTGAGATACATAGATGCTTACAACAGTATCTAAAGATCAATCCCGAAACAAACTAAGAGGTGACTGGTAAGATAGTTTGGTGGTTATTTTTTTAAAATGAAGTAGTGAAGCTCTGGGTGGTTCCATTCTTTTCAGTGGAAACCCCGACTGTCCTTGTGAATTCTGTAAATGAAGCATGACCTTCATCAGTTTTTTTCGTTTAGCATAAGCTTCAGGTAATCTGACCCACCACCTAGTAGCATAAAGCATTGCCTTTATTAACATGTTCTTGCAATGCTTCATCACTCTCTAACTATCCTCCCTCCCCACCCATCCTCTGCCCAAAATAAAGTCTTAATTTTTGTCTCACAGCCAAAACAATTATCAGGGCACTGAATAAATATGTATCCTTCATCCTGAGATCCTTCTGAGAGCTGCAGGAACTCAGCAGAGTTTTTGATTATATGGGTGTTGTCTCCATCATTTCTGGAATGCTGTCCAATGAAAACATTGAACAGTTAAGAAATAGCCCTCAACTATGCTGATTAACAGTTTTTTACCCTATTTCTCCACTGTTCCAAAGAAGCAGGGGACGTACAGCCTTGTTTAAATGAAATGATAAGATTATGCAAGCAATGCTTATTTTCACCTTTACCTCCACAAATATTGTTGTTTTAAAAGTAGAATTTAAGAGTAAACATTTGGTAAAAGAAAGGAATTCGTTATTTTTTTAATTTTTTTTAATTTTTTTTTTTTTTGGAAAATCTGAAGAGTTTTATTGTACTTTCAGAGTACTACTTCAGGACCTATAACCAGAGAAGAGGATTTTAAAATGGGACAATATCCCTTTTTATCGATTCTATCACACACAGGGATTTAGATAGAGATGACCATGGACTGCAGAGATGGGAAGAGACATACAACAGACGGTTAACAACTTCTTGGTAGGTTTGCCTATAAATTTAATGTCTTTAACTCCTAAGTTGACTGGTTTAGAGAAGCTGAAAGTGTCATTCTCTCCTTCAATATACACTCAAAAACACTGAAGCCAAAAACACAGCTAGCCCAAAGGACCACCAACTTTGTGGGGTCAGCACCATTAGGATGAGACAAGAAATCAGTGAGTGAGCTGGTTACTGTTGACTTCACCTGAAATTGAACCACACCTGAGGAAAAAGCACACTTATCCCCTATCCTCTCTGTTCCTCAACCAGCAATCTCTGATGCTCCTGGAGCCCGGCGGAGCCAGTCAGTCCTGTTGGAAGAGGCTTTCCTTCTTTAATTCATTCTTGGTGAAGCAAAATTAATACAAAGTGGCTTGTGTTAGTAAAATCAAGTCCCTAGATGCATATTAGACATTATCAGCGAAGCTGAGGTAGGTGCGCAGGTCTGGCCGCACTGAGAGGCGCTGATTGGCATCATGATGCTTACCTTTTCCACAAAAATTCTCATAATCAGGACAGCACTTGCCATACTTCTTACAATCTGAGTCACAGTCACACGCCCTCCCTCTTGCAAAGGACTCGAAGCAGCGGCCTTTACAGGAAAGCTCTACCCAGAGCAAAACAGAACATTACAGATTATTGATTATGCAGTCACACCGGTACTGATAGCCATTTCCCACCTGATAGCTGACTAGAGTTCCAAAAGTGCATTTCTGAGTCTTTCATTTGGGATTTGGAAAATAGGTGGTTTTCCAAGTGGAGAAGTCAAGAAAGAAATATGATGACTCAGAGAAGGTTTTCTTGCCCTTCGAGGCTCCTAGAGACACCCCAGTGCTGAGTCGTTTCACATATGTACAGTGGAAGGTGGGAACCCTTCATATGAAATCCTCCATCCTCTTCACCTTGCACCACTGCTTTGTAATTGATGTTTATTAAATGAACATTCAGACCTCACAACAATATTCCAAAGAGCTGGCTTAATATAGATGGGTCCCTGTTTAGGCTCAAAAATCACTTATAATGCAGAGAATTTTATTATGACGAACTGAGCAAGGTGTAGAGTTGGAAGATTTCAGCCTAATCCCATAGCCTGGATTATGCCTGCTCATGTCAAAACCAGCCTCGGCTAGAGGCACAGTAACTTACCAAGGCCTATTTGAAATGATCACCTTGTACGACACATAACTGTACAGCAATATATTTATCAACTTCACCTACAAATTCTAAAGTGAGCATAACTCTGAACCACTTTTAATTATAATTTTCAAAAGTTGGAGATTGAAATGTCCCTGTGTTAAGAAAATGATCCAAAAGTGTTCAAGGGAAATACCACTCATAATTTGAAATTCAGACCCTTTGGGTTTTAACTGAAATTCCTCATGAAACACTAATGCTTCATATTTAAATTGCCTTTTTTTGGGTACTTTAGAAACATATCCAAAAGTCCAACAGTTGATAAGATTATTTTATATCCATGGATTCTTTTGATGAAACTATTGAAGGACCCCAACACTAAGCAATTACATCTCTGATTTACTTAATGACTCCCGAGTCACAGTATTCTCTACATTTTACTTGGGACTAGTCACCCACCTTGTGCACCTGACAGATCTCCAGGCTCCCCTCCCCACCCTCCTCCCCCCACCCCGCCAGGCCCGAGCTCTGACACCATCCTTAGGTACAGCACACTGCAACATGTATGCGAGGAAGGGAAGGCACTTGAGCAAAGAGAAGCGCAAGAGTGGAAACAGGTGCAAGGGGACCCACAGAACAGTGTCGCGGGACAGGGGAGACACTAGCTGTCAGGACTTACCTATGGTGCAGGCTTTCTTGAAATCAGGGCAGCACTCCATGTAGTGTTGACAGTTATAATCACAGTTGCAGGTGGCATCTCTAGAATACCCTTCCCCACATCTCCCTGCACAGCTTGGTAAATCTAAAATTATACAATACTGGCGTAAACAGGGCCAAACCACTTCACGGAAAGGAAGAGATCTAATGAGAAGGATAAAGCCACTTGGCGAGGGAGAATTTTATCAATCGGAAAAGGTTGGGAATGATGGATAGCAATGGGTCCTGCTGAACTTAGCCTGATGGCTTGTGTGACCTTGATCGTGCCATTTTATTCTTCACTAGACTGAGAAGACAAATACACTTTTGAAAATCAGGCAAAGTTAGGGGCTTTGCAAAAAGCCGGTAACATTCCTGGGGGAGGGGCAGTAGCTAGGGCTCTCCTAAGGCTGCCGCTAATGAGGACCAGCTGACATTTCTTTAGCGTCTCTGTGCTGGGCACTGAGTCATACGTTATCTCTAATGTTTATGAAAATGTTGCCAGGAGAGTATCAGTAGCCCCTTTTGAGAGAGGAGGAAGCTGAAACACAGAGACTTTAGGGACACCCAGTGAATAGTTCCAGGATATATGTATTACAGGTCAATTAGTACCTATTAATTATTCATACTGACCTCTTTCACTTCTCAGAAGTGTCCTGATTTGCATAATACATTATATGGTCACTCTGAAATCTCTGATTCTAAAGCCCCCACTTTTCCCACCCAATCAATCACACTGCGTCTCATCTCTCATGTTGAGTTTAAAGCAAGCTGCTTATGCCAGCAAAAACTTCCCTCGGCTTCCTCTTCTTTTTACTCATGAGGATAACCACGTTCTTTAAATGTTGAGGAAGTCAGATGCTTGCAACCACAGCTACGGTGAACCCAATAGGTAACTGTTCAAATAGCATCTGGGCATGAATATAAAGGTCAGAGTTATTCTGGGTAAAACAAAACAAAAATACAAACAAAAGTGGGATGATCCTCAAATGTATTTTGAAGAATCACTTGGAAAACACCTTCCTGAGAGAATAACTACAAAAAATGTAACAATGGAATCCGTCTCTGGAATAGAAACTGTCAGGTGCAGTGTCCTAAAGCCAAAAAGGGAAGTTGAAACACATTGGAAAAATCTCAAAATAATGAGTCCGGGAAGGTGAAAGTCTTCATGTGCAAAGAAAAGAGTAAATATTAGGACAACCTTCACAACTTTTTGCGTACATATGTGCACAATACACACAAAAATGCATATATAGTGTATGTATATAAATACATATATTATATATAAAGGAAAAAGAAGTTGAGAAGGCAAGACAAGCAGACAACACAACATTAAAGGCTATTCTTTTCTAGTTAGCAGATTTCTGAAATAGGAAATCAATTATCTTTATAGGAAGAGCAATTATTTTCATAGATTAAATGACTGTCCTCTTCTTATTGCTGTTAATTTTAACAACTAATTTTAAATTCATTCATTTAAAGGAAAGTAAAACCATTTTAGAGAACAACTGATCTTATTACAGAGGAAAGGTAGCTTGGGAAATGCTCTCAGTGCTGTGAGCCTTATAATACTCTCACCAGAGAGCAGAGGAGTCTAGAGATGGTGTGGTGGCCATCATTCCTTATTAAATATTTACATTTGCTTTCACGTGTTTTTCCATCTTATCTAAGTGATTCTGAAACTATGTCCATGGCAGGCAGTTATCTCTCATGCTTAGGCTGGTGAGAATTTTAACTATTTTCCTGGAAGTGTCTATTTTATAAATATAATTTCACCATAACAATCATGCACCTAGATTTTTCTTCTCTCCGGTTTTGCTTGTCAAAGAAACAAAAAAGGAAACGAAAATCCAACACTTGGTATTATTGTCACTCATCAACCTTGATCGCATGCTAGAGACCTCGGCTAAGGTGATTGCATTGAATGTATCTTAACATTCTCTAAAATGAATAACAAGAACTATTCATTCAGGACTGCCTGTTTTTGGAAAACTGGAATAGTTCATTATCATAATATATGACATGTGTGCGAATGTAAGTCATATCTGGATGACTAGTCCTTGTAAGAAAGACAGAAATTTCAAGATTAACACAAGGCCGTTTGAAATTTTGTAAATGTTCATTGTAATACGATACCTAGTTCTCCATGATGCCAAAATAAGTCCTCAATAATGTATGTGATGTAAAAGACTAGTTAAACTTATTGTAAACATGGAAGCAAAAATTACATGTTATTTCAACATTGTTCTTTTCAGTTTGTCTGATGATGCTCCATCACACTAGCATAGTTTTATCCCGTGTCTGTATTTTGTTGAACTTTTGGAAGAACCATAAAAATAAGGAGCACAAAAATTATGCTATAGAAAAACTCATAACTTGAAAGATTTCATAAGACATGAGAAAAATGTGAGAATTCCAAAATGCTTATAAATATGCCATATCTGCTTCACCTAACTTTAAAATTGTACATTAAGCTCAAACAAATATATGTCTTTAGAAATCTCTTTCTTTTGTTGTAGTAATAGTCAACACAGAATGATTAGCTGTTAAATAAAAGTCTTTTGGATGGTTAAGTTACCTTGAGAAGAAACTTGCTGAATCAAGGAAACAGAAAGTAGCAGCAAGTATGTAGGAAGTATTTTCCACTCCATGGCTGTTTCCAGGTACTGAGCCCTCACTGCAAAGAAAAGAAAAGTATCAAAAAACTGCTCTTTAGTCTCACTAGTTTATGACTGTGTCACTTACCGTGTTTCAGTAACTTTTAAAAGGCGATTTAATGATAAAACCACCCCACTCTTGAAACAAGACTTTTAAAGATAATCAGCCTTAATTCTATCATAAGTATTTCACCATTAGATTTAATCTTATGCAGAAGAAATCAAGTCACCATCTCAATCATGTTACTGTCCATTTTAATACTTTTGAATTCCCCCCAAAAGGAAAACAACCTTATCTCAACACTATTTAAATTATAGCATATACTTACAGTGCAAGGTTTAAATTCCAGCTTGGGGGAAAAAAATAAATAAATAACCAACTTCAGTAAAATGTAATTTAACAAACACAGAAGTGACCATTCCAACTTTCCCTTAACTCTCCGTATAAATTTGTGAGCTTCCAACAGGTGTATTGCATAGTTGTGGTCCTTCTCAAAACTTTCCTACTACTATCCTTATAAATCTTTTTCAAACTCCTTGACTAAAGCATATCCCTATTGAATTGAAAACACATTTAATTCCACGAAGCAAGTTAACTTTGACACTTACCCGTAAAAGCAATAATGAGTTTTTCCAGTGTCCTGGAAGCCTTATATATCAGTGCAAATATACTGGGATGAACCAATTAGTCCAAAGGTTAGACAGAATCAACAGTGACAACCTATGAAATCAAACTTTCCTCATTTCCTGGAAGAGGGCCCAGACAGCTAGACTTAGGCAACATCTGGAAAACACTTCCATTAAGAAAAATGACTACTACAAAATAAATTTAGGATTATTAGCCAAAACACACTTCTTATTTCTGAGTGAAATGAACAAATTGTTCTGAGATGGTAAATAGTTCTGACAAGTCTTGACTAGCATATCAAAGCAGCAGTGTCAAAATAGTCAAATGTTGGTATCACTTCTTGCTTTTATTTCCCCCCACCAGCTAAATCTAGAAAAAAGTGATTTTGAAACTTATCTACTGTTAGTTTGTGGCGTAAATTTTCTTAACTTACACAATTAAATCAAATGTCCATTTCTTGAGTGCATTTTCACTGAGCACAGAAAAAATGCTCTACATTGCCACAGGATGGATGATCTACACTGTGTATTTTCTAGCTTCCTTTACCTGGTAAAACCTTGCTTTGAAAGTGTAGATTTCTCCCTTAGTCCCTTTATTTAAGCACAGCAATGTTTGGGAATGGTCTTTTAAATTACTAATTCAGCTTCATTACCCCAGAAGATGTGAACTGTCATCTTGCAGAGCTAGGTCAGCTCTGCTCAAGGCTTTACCTCAGTTTGATATGAAATGTTCCTGTTAAAATCCTATCTCCCGGGGCCCTGACCATGGTTTTGGCTCAGGTTATGATCTCAGGGTCATGGTATAGAGCCCCTCATCAGGCTCTGCGCTCAGCATGGAGTCTACTTGAGATTCTCTCTCTTCGCCCTCTGCCTCTCATGCATGTGCTGTCTCTCTAGAATAAATAAGTGAATCTTTAAAGAAAAAAAAATTCCTATCTACCTGCATAAGGCCTAGCTTGTGTCCTACTACCTCCCTGAAACCTTCCCAGATCAACCCCAGCCACATGCAGAATCACAGTCAACAAAGGAACTGCCTTTTACGGCAATTACCTGTTTATCTGTCTCCTGCCCACTCCCCCAGGCCACAGACTGTGGTTTCCCCAAGGACAACCAACACCCGTTCCTTCTGTTGCCAACATGTAGTCCAGCGGTTTACTGAGGTTGTGCGTTTACTGCGTGCTCATCCAACCAAACAGTCATATTCCATGGTGTAGTAGGTATTTGGTAGGTACTGCGTTTAAGTAGCACAAAATGCCTTTAAGTTATATATAATCCTCCACATTTTACAAATAAAATGAAGACCCACAAATAAAAAAACCTCTGACCCGGGCGCCTGGGTGGCTCACTTGGTTAAGCGACTGCCTTCGGCTCAGGTCATGATCCTGGAGTCCCGGGATCGAGTCCCACATCGGGCTCCCTGCTCAGCAGGGAGTCTGCTTCTCCCTCTGACCCTCTTCCCTCTCGTGCTTTCTATCTCTCATTAAAAAAAAAAAAAAAAAAAACCTCTGACCCATTGAGGATACATAAGCAGTAGGGGCCAGAGGCAAGATTTGAACCCGTGTCTTTTCATTTCAAGTTCTCCCATGTTTCTACAAACTGAGGGTTGCTTGAGGGGAGGTGGGTGGGAGGATGGGGTAACTGGGTGATGGGCAGTAAGGAGGGCACTGGGTGTTGTATGCAACTGATGAAATCACTGAATTCTATCTCTGAAACTAATAGTATATGTTAATTAAATTGAATTTAAATAAATAAATAAATAAATAAATAAATAAATAAATAAAGTTGCCTCATGTCTCTACTATATCCAGCCCCTTCTGGTCAAAGCCATTACTTAGTCCTTAATCATAGTACTAACTTTTACTCCTTTATGTGTATATGTGGGTTTATGAGATTGTGACCTTTGTTAAGACGGATTATAACATAAGCATCTCTTTTGTTACCACAGTGCTTATTCTGGGCTAAATCTATCGTGTAGTAGGAAAAGTTTAGAGACTGTCTGCTCACCTCTAAATAATCTCCTTCCTCTGGGAACCACCCCTCCATCATTAGGGGAATTTCCCTTGTAGCCATTTGAACACGTGTGATTTCGCCACACCCACCATAGCTGATAGGATTAGGGATAGAAACCTCAAAGAAATTGGTCCAATATGTTTTCCTACGGAAATTTGGAATTGTGATTCAGACATGACAAGGTGCCTCCTTGCTCTGTATTGTTACAGCAGACTCCCCCTTTGAGGCTGAAGCTGGCTAAAGATGCTTTCTGCTACTTAAAATCACTAATCAATACAGAGAAGAGGTACAAAAGATCCTGTTGGATGGAACTCAACCAAATTCTATTCATTCTTAGCTTTCCTGAGGCCAAGAGGGGGAAGTTCTTTTTGTAACTTTTTCAAGTCAGACCTTTACAGAGTTCCCTTGTTATTTGTTCAAAATGCTGGGGATACTATGAATATCAGCAATACATATACACACAGACACATATTCTTAAAATATAAATTGCTTTCTGATTATTGCCTTTTAGAGCTATCTGCACTATCACTTTTCTTCTTTGGACAAATTCTTGTAATGATGGCAAATGACATTCTTAACTTGACTGAAAAATCTGCTCCAGAAACACTTGTTCTTAAGCCCAGGTTTTATTCTAAAGTTGAAAACTGACAAATAAAGCAAAACACACATGCACAATGATGACCAATCATAACTCTAAACATATCCATTAACACATTCTCATTTTCATCAACTACATTTTCTCTGTATAATAAAGCATGGAAAAGAAAGAAAACCTTCATTAAATGCCAAATTCCTGAGGTTTAACTTATCAATACCTGGTTTGCATAATTCTATTGGGTAATGAGGCTATTTGAGGAAGTAAAGTTTGCCCTTAAGGCATGGAAGCATTTTAATTTTATGTACTAACTATATCTTCATAAACTGTACTAAATGCATCCTTCTGTGAATATTGAGCCATTTAACCTTCCTTACTAATCACATAACAATCATTCCATGAGGTTATAGGTACCCCCTTTAAGATTTCTTTTCTCATTGAAGTTTTTTTTTTTTTTTTTTTTTTTTTTAGCATTCACTTAAACCTCATTTAACTGAGACAAAAATTATCCTAGGATTGTTTTCTGGTAGGGGGAGTTGGGGAGAGGTGAGGAAAGAGAGATGGAGAGGACTTAAGTAATACTGGATCCCATACTCATCTTCTGGAGAGTACCTCCACACAGTTCATTCTCACAAACATCAGTTTTGGTACCTGGCAGCCACACAGTGAGGCCTTCAGGAAACACTCAAGGGTGCTTAGGGGTATTTGCTCTGCATTAAATGATCCCAGACTGTTATGCCTTCTCCTTGCTGTGTTCTGTCTCCATCCCTGCCGTTAGCTGTCACTTCGCCCTGTAGCCAGTGCTTCTGTTCCTAATGGCTTCTCTCCATCTTTCCACTTTTTTGATGTGTTTCATTTTCTTCCAGCAGCAGCCTAGGAAAAACTGAAGCATGCCAGGGGAAAACCACAGATGCAAGCTTGCTCTTTATTGCCCTAATTTTGTTCACAATGCTGTTAGAGCACTCTGGAAGTGGAATAACTAGTTCTCCTCTCCTATGGAATAGTCCCCAGGATTTGGAGACTCATTCTGTCTGTTCTGCTCATGGCATTTTCACATACTGGGAAGGGATGTGGCTTTCTTTCTGGATGTTGATCCAAAGTCTGACATTAGATAAGAAAAGTATTATTGCATTTGCTCTTGAAGAGTGCAGCCGTCTGATAATTGCTCCTGATTTTTTCTAGCTTTTTCTACCTGCCCAGCCAGAGATTACATGACCCAGCTTCCTTTTCAGTTATGTGTGGCCCGGTGACTGCATTTTCTCCTGTGAAAAGTGACTAGAAGAGATAGGTGCAACTCCCCCCCCCCCCCCTTTCCTAACAGAAAATCGCTTCCTCTGGACTTCCTGTTTTCCTCGGTTCTTCCCAGACTGGAAGGCAGACTTCAGAGACCAGACTTGATCATGCAGACGAGGATGGTAGCCTAGGGAATAGTACCATTTATGGAACACACAGGCACTCCCTTTCCCGGGACTAGTCAAGAAAGTTCCAGGGACGCCTAAGTGGCTCAGTCGGTTAAGTGTCTGCCTTCGGCTCAGGTCATGATTGCAGGGTCTAGGGATCGAGTCCCGCATTGGGCTCCCTGCTTGGTGGGGAGCCTGTTTCTACCTCTGCCTGCAGCTCCCCCTACTTGTGCAGTCTCTCTCCCTCTCTGACAAATAAATAAATAGAATCTTAAAAAAAAAAGAGAGAGAGTTGTATACAAGGAAATAAATCTCCATTTTATTTGGACAACTCTAATTTGGGGTCTTTTCATTACACCAAT